GTGGGAATCTTTAAACAGACTAATACATATCTCCGACATGATAGAAAAGCTGTAACGCAGAGTTTCCTCCGAACTAACCGTTGTTCAGCAGATTTAGTTATGTTATGAGCAACTTGCATCGATTTATTAAAAAGTCACCGTTAACAAATAAGTTTTCCATTAAAGTTCATCTTTTGGTTAATTTACCGGTCATAAAAAACTACCAACCCGAATTCGTTCCCACCGTTTATCTCTGTCCATCGCATAGTAGCGCCCTACTATTGTTGATATTTCACCATATTGTTCCTTGTTGACGAAATCAATTAGCTGTTGAAGGAAACCAACTGAAAAAAACTCCATCATTCTTAGTTTTGGAAAATTTTCAAATGTGATTTGAAGGAAATTTAAGAAACAAACATAATGGAACCTCCGCTTGTTGGACTCGTATCACGACCATCTCCAAAGAATTGAATGTAAAGCTTCGGTACTTTAAGTTGTTTCAAAGCTGTTATCAAAGCAAACAAATGATCAATATGTGAATGAACACCACCATCGCTGACCTGAAAATTTCTTGAAATTTTTGAAATCTATAAATTTAGTATTCCAGAGCTTTGTGTATGCGTCCATGGAGAATATGAAACAACCGCAGCCAGACATACTCATGGAACTTTCGAGAAAAAACAATCCCTTTGTATATGTCATGATCAGAAAACAGATACTATCTTAGCACTCGATAATTCTGGCTAAATGGATAAGAAACAAATCTGTGAACAAAATTAATTCCAATTCTTACCAAACCACATAAGTGCATGCGGCCATTCCCTTTAATTGCACGTTCAGCAGCTTCCTTCAAATGCTTATTTTCCACCAAAGTCTTATTCTTGACCGCCAAATTTATGCGTACAATATCCTAAGGTACGATTACTACTTTAATAATAAAGTATTTGACAGAAAACTGCAATTGCGCCACAACAACATTCGAGTCATCTCGAAAATTTTTTGGGATTATACTTGAAACTGGGAAAACCCCTTTGAGAAGCAATATTTCAAACACCCTATTACCTGATAAACAACACGGCCAGCGCCAATGTTTAAATGACCCACTTCTGAATTGCCCATAAGTCCTTCCGGTAAACCAACATGCAAGCCATGTGCTTGAATTGGATGCGAATTCATTACACAAAGCTCATCCATTACAGGTGTTTTAGCATTTAGTATTGCATTGCCTGCAAAAAAAAAAAAAAAAAAAAAAAAAAACTGTCACCGTTATTTTATTTCTAAAACTGTGGCTGATATTCTTCCTCTAATTTTTTACCAGCATGAAAACACCACTATCGGTTATTCAATACGGTATACCCTTCGACTTTCGAAATATTTGACCTATCATGTTACTTGGGATATTGCCTTTCCACTTCAGCACATGTCATTCAGTAAAAATGTGACTGATCAATTTCTATGTAATATTTCGTAAAAATTCTACAGTGAAAATAAAGTTAAAAAAAAAACCGACTAACCTTTAGTTTCGTTACTGATTCCCCAACCATCAATCACTACCAGACATACTCGATTCTTTGCTTCGGCCATTTTCGGAAATTCTGAAAGAACATACTAGGACACAATATTATTTTAATGCGGTGCATGCATAACCATCGAACAAGAAAAATCAATAAAATGTGAATACAATAATAATTCAAAAGAAAATTTGAAAGTTTACAAAATATGAAAAACCTCTTGAAAATTCAAAAAATTCGACACTATAAATTTACTACAACCACGCAACTTACCAGTTACTTACGTACGCACCGTCCTCACGTACGTTAAACGAAGATGCAAAACGCAAAAATGTGCTATGAAAGTGTATGCAACGAAATATGAAATAAAGAATCGCATGTGTCTAATCCAAAGTGATTTCATTAACGAAGATATTTATTTGGATTTTGATCAATTTAAATTCCATTGATCGAATTCTTAAGTTTTTTCTCGACAGTTTCTAATTTAAACTGATATGTAATTGTGTATATCAGTGCAAGCTTAAGCAGTTAATAGCAAAATTTATAATAACATAAGATAGAGGATTTCAGAAGTGAGACATTTTAAAGGAAATATTAAAATTAATCAGTAATTTTCAATTCTTAGTACTATCTCCAACTGAAAAGTTTTAGCATTCTTCTAAAATATTACATATTAGTTGCAGCAGTTTCATTGTTTTAATTTGCATCCTAAAAAAAACATGATCACAATTACTAACATTAAATATTATTGATTAGTTCCATAAAGGTAATTCTTAATGAAAAATATTATTGATTAATTCGATAAAGGTAATTTTTAACAAAAAGTATTAATGGCTGATTTCAAATAAGAGTATGAAATAATTCCTTATTTTCCAAAAATATTAAAAAAATTAAAAAAACAATTACTTTTACTATAGCCTAGAAAAAATTTTTAAGTTTTAAGACGACGAAGAGAGAAAAAATTGTACGAAAGTATAACTTTTCATTTGCAAGTTTTAAACAAAAAAAAACTGAAAAGCTAATATTTCTATCATCCACTAGTCTAGTTGATAAGAGAGAGAGAGAGAGAGGAGGAGGAGGGAGAAAGAAAGAAGAGAGGGAGAGAGGGAGTGAGATTAGGATAGAAAAAAGAGAAAAATGATCCGTCTCGAATAGGGTTATGTCAAAAGTTTGTTCCTGGATAGATGAGAAGTGAGAAATCGAGAGTAATGCTGTTAAATCGATAAGGGAGGTAAGATATTTTGAGGTGGTGAGACAGAAAGAGAGAAGGAAACAGAGAGAGTAAAGAAAGAAAATGATTTTTCAAGATAATAAAAAAGTTAAAAAATATAAAAGTGAATTATCTTTATGCGTCTTTAATGTACAAAAATACATTTAAAATTTGGAGTTATCATCCATTTCAACATTTCAAATTTGTTTAAATTACACAATGTTTAGAAGTTAATACGATATGATAAGATAAATGATAATTTATATGCTTAAAAATAGCAAAAAAAGGAACAATTGCTTAATGATAAGAAATAAAGTAATTTAAGGGTTTGAAAAAATTTTTTGTTTTAGGAAATAAAAAATATATTAAAATAGAAAGTTTTTTAGTAAGATTAAAGAAATGATTTTCAAATATAATATTAAGAAGTAATACACATTACCAATTAATGACATAACAAATATTTGATGTAGTTGTTTAGATTGAATAAATATATACGAGTTTGCACTACGTTATTTGCAATATTTACGTACTTTTTTTTTTTTTTTTTTGAACTTAAAAATATTAAATTATTTTATTTGCCTTCTTCAAAATTTTTTTTTTATTTTAATACAAATAATTATTACAATATTTAAGTGTTTTTTTTTGCATACAAGGATATGAAATTATGTTTTAAAATCTTGTAAAACGTCAGCGGGAAGAAATATTATGAAAATAAATGTCAAAATTTTCCATTTATTTTCCTTAATAATAAATACAAATTTACTGATATATGAACTTTGTTGCACGTTTACATGAGACGAAAAGTGTACAATTTCACGTGAAATGCACGAATAATACACGACGATATTAAATGAAATGATAGATGACAGTTGACTGATTCTTTCCTTTTTTTTTTTTTTTTTTTTTTTAAGTTAATATCAATTATATCATTGACTTTGATCAAATAATAGTTGACAACAATCATTCAATTATTATTCATTGATGATAACATGATAATATAAATGATTATTTATATAAAATGTAAAATGTACTATGCTAAATTTGTTAAAAATTAACTAATAACTCCATGGATTGTAAACTGATAACGTAAAAGTGAATAATGTTGCAAGTTGGAAAACATAATAGTATGATAGCACGTAATCATAAAGATTAATAAGTAACACGATGATATAATTAAGTATTAATAAACAGAGGAAGAAAAAAAAAAAAAAAAACGATTTTTTGTTATATAAAAGGAAAACGTTCAAAACAGTAGTATATTTTTAAATTATTTTTGGAAAAATGCATTATCGTTTACCTTTATTAATCATTTAACTTACGCTAGTTCAGTTAAACTATATATAATATAGTAATAAAAGTGATCTAATCTGCATAGTTTTAACAAGATAGATGTGTAGCATTGTTGTATGTGAGATAATTATAATTAAATACTCAATTAAAAGAAAAAAAACTTTCAAATATAAAATGTTATTTAAAATTGTTTTGTATTTCCGTAGAAGAAAAAAAATTTTGAATAAATAAAAACGGAAATTTTAAAAACAATATAATATAGTAGTAAAAAATACTGATTGTTTAATTTGACAAAAGATTAAATTAGTTATTTGTCTAATTTTATTTGAAACATAAATTTCTGAATGAAAAATGCTAATCGTTTATATCACTGCTATAGTAAAATAAATTTTTTGTGTATTTCACGTGCATTACATACCATAATCATAATTCAAAATAAAAACAGGAATATGAAATGCAATTTTTATTTTGAAACTAGATTTCAATTTTTTTAATGAATAAAGGGAAGAAAAGGAATCAGAACTTTAAAATATGAAAAATAGTGGTTAAAACAATGTTTTTTTTTAAAATATTATGCTATATAATTAAGCTATGTTAGCTTAATCAAGCATACAGATATTATTATTACATAATTAACGTTTTCGGATATGTTTCTTTTTTTTTTTTTTTTTTTTTTTTATGTATACGTTACATTAAAATGGTAAATATTTGCATTACTTATGAATTGTTTATTTTATAACATTAAATTTTTACCAATAGAAAATGTAATAAAAAAAGGTTTAAAGTTTGTTTCAGTTATAAAATTTTATATTTAATATTATTGCTACAATTACTAGAATGATCAAAAATTAAAGATAAAAAATTGTAAATGATAATAACTAAAGAAATAATATCTTTGAATAATTGAAAATGCAACAAAATGAAACAAATATATAAATGAATGTATGCAAGGGTTTAAATAATAAATTCATTTTGGCAATAAAATGTTTGCTGTTATATTTATTTTTTCTATGCTTATTACATGGCTTATTCCAATTACCTCAAAATCCTATCATAGTGATAGCGGATCAGGTAATTAAATTATTTTCTTGCTAATATTAATTGACTTATAATCATTTACTTTTCAATTTTATTCGATTTCTTTTTTTTTCTTGTCAAAAATACTTTGTATGAAAAGAAATTAAGACAAAAAAAGGTAAAAAATAATAATTTTTAAAAAAATTCTGTCTTTATTCATATTTCAATCGTCCAATTAATTCATTTTTTTCCAGTTTTTCTGGCAAAGCTATTATTGTTGTTTAGTTTATCTCTTTGGGAAAAAAAAGGAAAATGAAACTTTTAATTTTTCATTTTCCAATATGTAAACAAATAAGCTATATGGAGTCTTCGTAATAGCAAAATTATTTACAACTTTTAGTTCTTTTTTATAAGCTTAATATGATTTTTTTTTTTTCTAAAACCTAAGGAGCAAAAAAAAAATTAGGAAAATTATCGGAAATCAGCACAAATGAACAACAATTATCGGAAATCATACTAAAAGATGATCTTATCGATACTGAAAATCATACAATAAATGATGGATTGGTAAGTTTTAAAAATATTCCTATGCTTAAGTTCATCATATCTCTCTCATAATAAGTAATAAATTAACTTTTAGTAATGACATTTAGCAGTTATCAATATTGAAATTGATCTAAATCTTATCAGCTTTAATGATTGAAAGTGATTACAAATTTTACGGTAAAATTATCAAATTAAATTTTATTTAATTAATTTAGATAAGTGTAAGTGAGATTAACATGGATGATCTGGAAGATGATTTTTTCGATAATGATCATAACGATGAAATGATTAGCAAAGATAACGAAATATTGCATGACGAAATAACAATGGACAAATTAGCAGATATGCATGATGAGACTGATAATGATAACGGTAATGATAGTGAAACAGAAACAGATAATCTTGCAGAGTGATTCATTCCAGTGAGAAATGATAAGGCAATACCGATAATAATTTATATCAGAAGAAAATAAGCAAATGAAAAAATGAGAAGGGTGTATAATTAATTAGAATTGGATGAAATTAATATGATATTTGTTTGATTACTGTATTTTTCGTGCTATTATATTTCTTGCCCATATTTTCTGATTTAATCGGATAAAATTTCCGATTACACTGATAATTATGATGTTCAAATTATTGTTGTTGTTAATATTTCTCATTTTACATCTCATTTCTGATTTATTTAATTTCAAATAAAAATGATAATATTATGTGTCTACATCGGTCAATCAAATCATTTGTAAAATTGAATTTTCTAAACAACAGCAAAGGATAAGCAAAAAAAGAAATGAAGTGCATATTTCTTGCATGCGGCTAATCCTGAAATTTACTTTTAAACAAAAACTTTTTGAAATTATTTCACTCAGATTTCAAATTTTGAATAAACGAGCTACATATAGAAATATAGCATACATTCATGTTTGTAATAATTTTTATTTTGTAATTTAAATAACTGAAAAAATACTGATAAAATAACTAAAATCATGAAATGATGACACATATTATTCGTTAACAGTTTCTTTCTAACATATTTTATATAAGTATTTCAAACATAAAATTTTCTAAGTTTAAAATATTGCAGAAGAAGAAAGAGCGAAACTACAAAGAGACAAGGAGATTTGCTTGAATGATTATTTAATTAATTTCCAGTAAATAATGAAATATATATAAGGATGCTTAAAAAATATAATACAATACAACGATAGTTTCTTCGTCTAAGAAATTTTCTCATCAGATTTCTTGAAGCTATAAAAGACTTTAGTTTTATTTATTTGTTAGAAATCAAAACAACTTTTAGTTTTTTTGAAAAAAAAAAAAACAAAAAACAAAAAATTAAGGATTCAGTGAACTTAAATGAAAAAAAATATTTGAAGTAGAAGAGAAAACAGAAGGATTTCAGTTTGAGCATAAATATTTAAAGGAAAACTGGGAGAAGTTATCACTTATGGAAATTACAATGAGAGAGAAGCAGAGAGAAGAGGGAAAGCGAGAAAACAATAAGCTAATTTCAAATGAAAGATTTCCATGAATCAATACAAATTTACCAGACAGTATGATTTCATCCACAACAATTCACTTAAGAAGAATGAAAAATTGTGTGAGTTATAGTTTAAATTGAATAAATAATTGAAGACCAATTGGTAAAACAATTATGATTGATCAGTAATAAACAATTTTTAATTGAAATACTCGAGAGATAGCATATGCATATTACATATTACGGTATCCCCGACCGATTCTTATTATTGTTATTTACTATTTTTTTATTATATTACCATTATTATTATTATTACTATCATTATTACCATTATTATATCACTATTATTATTACTATCATCATTATTACTATTATTTGTTTGCTACTATTAGGATAATATACATAAATTTAAACAACCACTTCTAGTACTCGTATCAATGGATTCCTTGATTTTGAATATGAAAAACCTTTTGCTATCATATCACTGCATAGCTAATCTGTGATAAAGTAGTTGAAAAATGGAGAATGTTCCACTGCATTCATTTAGTATAACTGTTTATGCCACATTAATAAACCAATAAAATGCCAATAAAATGTTCGTGGAATTTAATTCATCAGAGGGTTGGAAAGACGCTATAAAATTATACCATATAAAGCATTTGTTGAGTAAAAGAAAAATAAAAGGAAAAAAATAAAATAAAACGGCAAATGTCTCAATACACGTATTATTGAGAAAGACATTCAAAAAAATAGGATAACCAGTGAAACAAATCCTCAATTTATATTACACATTATTTGCATTTCTTCTGAAAAGTTCAAATTTCCGAAACTTATTTAAATTATCATTAAAATCTCATTAGAAATGTGAATTATACTCACTCCTATGATACATCTAACAATATTTCAATATGTTATAACTTTATGAATGGAATTTCAAATACATAAACATAAATAATGATATAAAAAAAAGAAAAAAAAAAAACCATAAACCTGATATCTTACCCCGTGTTGATGGATAATTCCTCTTTTTTTTTTGCTTGTTTACAAAGATAAAAACATGCAAAAGTAAGAAAGATATACAAACAAGAAATGAAAAAAAAAAAAAAAAAACAGCATCAAAATTTACCGAGGTGTTCGATGAGAAACAAAATGAGAAAGTGAAAAAGATGAATTATTTAACAGTATAAGCAAATTGAAAATTAAGTAATTAAAAATGATTTCTTAAATTTATATTATAAACAAGCTGGTTCCTTAAAATTCTGATATAATACACGCATACATTTTCCTCGAACAGCCCAAAGAAACTGATTCCAATATGCTTTTTGCCATATTTCGCGACTGAAAATGATAACTGATATTTGATAAATTATTCAACCTAATTGATTTTGCATTATATGATATAGATGAAGTGTATAAGAGATTAAAATGCGAAAAAAAATTTTTGACAACCCAATCTTTGCATAATTTATCAGAAGTATGCGAAATTTGAAAATGTTTCGAAATGTCTGCTTCTTATCAACCCATTGGAAAAATTTTTTTTTCTTCAATAGAGAATTAATGAATACTTTCATAAACTATATACTAAATAAATTGAAAATTATTAATAATAAAATAATTAATACAAAAAATATACCTCAATTCCATTCCATTAAATCTTTCAATTACAAGTACCACTGTTCCACCATCCAATAATACAACACTTCTTCCTTTCAGTGCAGGATTGTTTGGCTCGAAACAGAATTCATTATTCCTAAAATCGAAATAATTATCAGCTACTTATCAAACTTGTCTGATAACATTTTGCCTCAGCATCAATTAACACTTAGCTAATTTACATATAAATGGCTTCAATCAATAACAATGAAAGAAATATGTTAAAAAATGCCAATTTTTTCCTTCAAATTGTTAATGATTTATTGATAACGTCAACTCACCCTTTCTCTCTTTCAAAATTTCCTTTAACTAAACAAATGCTAACATTATTTTATGCAAGAAAAAAAAAATGTATATTCTACCGTTGAATGAAAGTGAATTTATGATCAATTTCCATTGCTAATTGAAGCATTCCTGTTATTCTTTGCTCATCCGCTAATTGATATGTCGGAGGTTGATAAGACAATAACTGCTGTGAAGTTGACTAAAATAAAGAATTCTCTCATTAAATACAACAAAAAGAACTTAATATTTGGACATTACAGTAATTAGCTAATCCATTTTCAAATAACATAAGACCATATTATTCTATTACTGATGTTCGAAATTTTAATACAATTGATTTGGTGGGTTATGTAAAAAAAATAACAGTTTGTCCTCTTAGATCAGAATGATAAAAAATGTTAGCTCATAAGATCTTCGGTTTTACTTTACTATTACTGTTTATAATCATTATTATTTTAAAATAATAAGTATCGAAAGATGAACAAAAAAAAAAAAATGAACTAGTTCCGAATTGGCACCAAACGGTAAATTCGCTGTAGCATTCAGGACAAACTGTGTAAGGATATCTTGCTGTGTAGTAGATTGAGGTGTTATTTCAGAATTTTTTTCCGCTTCTGTAAAATGTTAGAATACATATACAAGGATAAATAGCAGTTCATGTTTTATAGTTCATTCTTAATAAGTATAAAGACCAAAAATACGAGCTAATGAACATAATCCATATTCATATGATCGATAATCAATACTCAAAAAGAATTAGAAGTAATATTCACATAACATTAAATGAATGTTAAAATTATTGAACACACATTCAGAATAACTGGCACACCTCTCTGGATAATGAAGTTAAATGATAGATAAGCTTAAGATTAAAAATGGTATGAAATTGATCGTCATCAGGTGTTTCCATCTCTTTCATATTGCAACCGTTCAAAATAAACTTATTTCAAATTTCATAATTATTCTTTCGTTCTTTTTTTTTTCTTTTTATTAAATACGGCTTCGAGTGAAATACGATGAAATTTAAGAAAAGAAAATTTAATACATAAATTTAAATTAAATTATGTTACACACATTGAATCTATAATCGTTTCGCATCCTACCATAGCACTGTACTATTCATAATGATAAAATAATTAAATATATGCCAATAATAGCATCCTATCTTTGATGATAAATAAACAGTATGTATTATGGTTAATGATTTTTCTTTTGATGATAATCGGATAACTATTTTTGTTATTTTTGATGGTAAAATCACTAGTTAATAAGGATAATAAACAGTTTTATCTTTAGTGATAACTGTATGACAGCAATAAATGATAAACATATAAACAAAAATTTTTTCCTGAGAAAAAAAAAATTACTTACGTGGAATAACATCCGTAACATAATATGGATCTTTAGCAGTATGATCGTGTTCACCACTTGCAAATAAGCACATTTTATCAGATGTAAAAATAATCGCATACATTCGAAAATTACATCTCGTACGTCTCCAATTGTTACAACGATAAAAAACTTTTGTGCCATGAACTGATGTAACACTTTTACGTTTTGATACTTTCTCACGTCGACGTACTTCATCCATTTCTTCACATGATTTATACCAACCATAATTTCGCCATTGGCGTTTCATTTTGTTAAATACTATAAAAACGAAAAAAATAAAAATAAATTTAAAAAAATTATACTATCAGAATAACTTATTATCACTGTTATTCAATAATGAATAATTAAGCAAATAATTATAATCTTATATTTTAATATATATTTTATAACAAAGAATAACCTTCAATAATTTATTTCTAGAAAGAGATAAATTATAATGATAGAGAATTTGATTACAAATACATACATATTAAAATATCTCACTGAAAAAAAATGAAATGATAATTTCATGATAACTTTTTTTACACGGCAATTTGTCTACTTTCATCAGTAAGATAAAATGTAAAATATTACAAAGAAAAATGGTTATTTAGAAATCTGAAACATTTGATATTCTCAATTTAATCATTCATCCATCATTAAAAAATAATTAATGCTATATTTGAAAATATTTTAAGCAATTTCTGAAAAAACCTTTTTTTCTGAAATTTTGAATTTAATTTCTTGGCAGGCCAAAGAGAAGCAAATTTTTCGTTTCATTAATTAGGAACGATTAAATAATTAATTCATTAGTACGAACTAAATTATTTCAGCAACAATACTTAATTACTTTCCATCTATCGCTCACTCAGTTAATCTGTCATATCGTTGGTAACAGTCACTACACAGACTCATAAACATTTAACATACTGAAATTGTCGTAGTTAGATAATTAACAATTTTAAGCCATATAAAATCAGGAATACAAATTTATTGAATGGCATTTAACCACAAATTTTACCTTCATTAACTTGTGAAACAAATAACATTCATTAATACCTAACTACAAATTTCAATCCAATTAATTTAGTTGTTCATTATAAACACAGATTGCAAATATGTTAAATATAAGTTAGAATGAAAAGTTTCCAATAACTTACAAGGTGAATCAACAATAGCGCAATTGTCAATTGTTTCACCATTGCTTATCGATATATGATTATTAGTTGAATTGTGCTGTTGCTGCTGTTGTTGTTGTTGTTGATGATGATGATGTAAATGATTATAGCTAGTACTAGGCCTCTCAGCCAATATTTCATCAAATTCTTCATCACATTGTAAATCAAGTGATTTAACACTACTATCCTTTTGTTGTTGCTCTTGTTGTCGTTGTTGTTGCATAGTTTCCATTGTTGATGATAATGTTATTGGTGATTTAACAGTTTCCATAACTGCTACCACTGTATCTACCATTTTCATTCTGCTCATATAATAATATAGTAATAAAATAATTTCCAATATGAATCAAAATTAAAAATAAATTAAAAAAAAAAAACAAAACAAAAGTAAAAATGACTCAATTACATTTTAAACGTATATTTAAAATACTTTTTTTTTCGCTTAACTGATATACAGTAAATATATTTATATTTTATCCCAAAATTACAAAGGAAAGAAATTAATTTAAAAAAGATTAATTAATAAAGAATTAATTAGATATACACAAATATGTTTAAACAGTTAATTCTTGACTGTAACATTTACAAAATAATGATCATAATGAATTATAACAAATGATAAATGATAATAAGATATTCGTTTATTTTTGAAAATCAGTTGATTCAATAGGTCAATGAAATGAGTTAAATCACATTTTATAGCTCATTTGTTGAATATTTCATCTAAGATATTACTAATTAAAATTGCTATACTGTTTTTTCTGATATAACAGGAACTTTTGAAATGATTAAATTTGTGCTGAAATTCCCAAGCTTAAAATGGAAATACAAGCCTGGTCAGATGTGAAACTGATTATATTAAAGCAAAAAAAAAAATTAATTTATCTTTACGCAAAATATCATTTATCTAATATAGTATATAAAATAATTCGTTTTATTTTCAAAAAATCCATCTGATTTTTCAATTAATCAAATCAGTAGGACTACTGCTTTTTTAAAATTATTATTTATTTTATACACTACAATCAGTTACTCAAATTTACGATATAAATATTTTCACTGTTCAAATCTATTCCTGTAATTATCTAACTCAAATTTATTCTTGCAACTATTCTTTATGAATGATTCCTTTACTTAATTTAATTTTGTAATCATTTATAATTACTTGATAATAACAAATCTGTTAATTATATAATTAATATTCTAATTAATCCTTTTATATAATTTATGCAAAATATAATGCTTCCTTTGTTCAGCTCAACTATGATCGATAGTATAGGATAGTAAATTATATCAAATAAAAATTAATATAAATGATTAATGAAAAGCTGCTTCAAACTGAACATGTCAGCATTTCAGGATATGCATAATACTATAAGCGACTACGCAACATCAGTAGTGGCACAGATGTACAAACTTAAGCGGACATAACAGTCAGCGATTTACGGCTATACACGTATTGTGCACTACGTACGTACGTGTCTGTGTGTACGTATTCAATTTAAATTTTTGGAATGTATATCTGAGTGTATTTATGTATGTATATTTGCATGTACCTGTGTATGCATATTTATGTGTGTGTGTGTGTGTGTGTACGTGCATGCGTACGTGTGTACGTGCACATGCGTACGCTATGTGTTCAGTTTAAATTTTTGGAAAATATATGCATTTTATGTGTGTATGTTGGCATGTACTTGTGTATGTGCATTTATATATATATATGTGTGTGTGTCTGTACACGTGTGTATGTGCGTGTCCGTGTCTATCTATGTCTGCGCATGTGAAATTGCAAAAAAGTGGAAATGCAATTAAGAGCTAAGTGTATAGGGACCTAAGCAGAGAAGTGTATTCCGCTAATTTCGTTGCCTTTTTTTTTGTAAAAATGCTTTGGCAAAAAGAAAAAGTAGGCCCAAGCAGAAAACAAGCTGGGCTGTAGAACGGTAATAAATTATAGATATAAATGAAAAGCCTTGAAATTTTGATATTGCCGTCAAGGTTAAAAATTAATGTTCGAACTAATAAAAAAAAAGAGATGAAAGAAAGAAAAAGGAAGAAAGTCTAAAGATTTCATTTCAGATAATATTATACAAGCATATGTATTAAAATTAATTAAATTCCAGAGAGAAACTACGAATTTTTAATAATCAAAATATCAGATGATTGGAAGTACTTCTTTCTTTTCAAAAATTTCCACTTCTTTTCCTTTTTCTGCTTTGTTCATATTAATTTGTTATACTTTAATTAAAGCACTAACTATCTTTTTTATGTTGTATTTCAAATGAATACAGTCATATATTTATATGAATACAAATATATGAATGTATTCAATCAAAATCAATCAGTCAATCACCTAATTATAATGTAAATAGTTATACAAAAAAAAGTAAATCCCAGTACTAATCGGAAAATGACCTTTTCTTAATCCAATTTAATCATATTCCAAAAAAAATGACATTTTTCATAACTAAATTTACTCTCATTATATATATATATATAAATAGGCATTCTAGGAAAATCATAAATTTTAAATTATAGCACTGTAGAAAATCTCTCGTTTACTAGGGTAAATGGATTAAATGAATGAATTAAATGGCATATTTATGCATATCGACCATGTATTAATTAAACTAGCACGCAGAGATATCAACACGACAACCAATCAATCAATCAAAATCAATCAATCAACTAATCGACCAATCAATCAATCAATCAATCAAAATCAATCAATCAATCAATCAACTAATCGACCAATGAATCAATCAATCATCGAACCATTTGTCATTTCACAAACTGGCATATAAGTGTTCAAAAACCGATAGCAAAATAAATCTGTGATTTTAAAACTGTTTCAGAGTTGAAAGAAATTTGATAACACAATATTATTGTCCATTTTATTTGTTTAAATGAACACAAACACAAAAACTATTTTTTTCCTGAATTTAGTAAATAATGCTAATTAATTAATTATCATTACTTTATTTGAGAAAAAATTAAAAAGGTTGTAAAAATTATAGAAAGGGGGAAAAAAATTGGATGAAAATTTACGAGTTTGTTCAATCACCATCGTTATGAAGAATAAGGGGAGAGATGGAATGAGAGGGAAAGGTGGTATTAGGGACGGGGGTAAAGGGGACAGGAAAAGTGTGGGCAAAAGAAGAGAAACGGGGAAAACGATGAATGAGTGGAAAAGTGGAGAAGAGGCGGGGGGAAGATACTTTGCGAGTCGATTTGTTTTTGCCCCTTTTTTTCCACCATCTATTTCTGGGGACGTTTGCGCCCCTCTTCCTCCCCATATGACTTCTCATCACCCTTACCTTTATCCTTACTCATACACGTACTCATACCCATATACTATCATTATTACTACAAGAGGCTTCCTCCTTCCCCCCTTACATCACAAATATTACTACTACTCTTCAGTCCCTCCTATCCGCCCGCCGTTTCTTTCCCTTTCCTCTCGTTACCCGCCCCTTGTTCCATCTCTCTAGAAAACATATTATAGGAACAAGACATCACTTTCCTCATTCTCCTCCTTTAGCAAACGTTGATGCAGGAGGGATGGGGATGAGAGGAGGAAACAGAGGGGTCGCTCGGGTGAAGCGATAAAAGCAACGGTGACGAATCGATCACTATGTAAGGGGAAAGGGAAACCAGGAAAGGAAGGGGTACAAACCCTTCCCTCCCTCTCTCCATTCACTATACCCCTCTCCTCCCCTCTCCCTCCTCTACCCGCCTTATGGTGTCCTCCTCTACTTATATATATATATATATATATATATATCAAATTATATAAACACGGATACACATGAAATTCTCCCTTTACATTTCTTCCGAAGAGTAAGACTAAAAATTCAAGAAAAAGATAGGAATAGGAAGAAAAGGAAGGGAGGAGGAAGAAGAACGGAAAGAATGAATTTTAGGGGAAGAGGTAAAGAGAAATCATTTACTTCATATATATATATATATATATATACGTATTTTTTCATTTTAATTGTTTCAAATGATGAGAACAGAGTATTTGATATTTTATCTTTAGTAATATTCCGACTTGGCAGTACGTACTTTTATAACAACGAAAAACAAAAGAAAGAAAAAAATGATAAGTGTTAAAAAATAAGCATGAAGCAAATTGAAATGATTTAATCATTATTAAATAATGCATAATCATCAGTAGTCTAAATATTTATCGTTTTGTTATTCGCATTAGATAATATCAATTTAATGAATTAAACATTCATTTATCTTCTTTAAAGCAATAATATTCTAAGATTCCTGAAATAAAAGAAAAAAAGTAAAGGAAATGAGGAAATCATAATAAATAATAATCGATGACAAAATGGGAAAAGAGAAAAATATAAGTTAGTGATTATTTGAATGACTGACTGATTTTACTGTTGAAAGATTTTTCCATTTATAAAACAGAACAGAATTAAACAAAACTAAAGAAAAGAAAATTAGGAATTAAAAAACCATTACGATAAAAATAATGCTTTAACTATTCTCAATGAGGTAATCGTTGTTTTTTTTCTGTTTATTGTTCACCGCAATGAATTGTATTTTGAAGTCAAGTCAAGGCTCAACGTTAATTTTTTAGTCAAATTCAATATTTGGATAAGATTTGAGTCTGAAACACTAAGAAATGCTGAAAATCAATTGTTAAACGATTACCTGATATTCTTTCCATAAAATATTTTTTAATTCTTCCATATCCCAATTAATTACATCTTTTGTTCGTATTCTCCAATAGAGATTTTTCTTTATTTTAGCTAATACATCACCATTCTTACCGATTTTTTTCTCTCGAATTAATTCACTAATACATTTACGCAAATCAAGCTCCAATTTCATCCATTTTCCATCTTTTGATATTTCATCATTTTCCTTAGATATCTTTGATCTAATATTATTTGAAATAATCCATAGATTTTTTTTCCATCTAATACGATCAATATGTTCAACTAATGGCTGCAAATCATTCGTTGATTGATAGATGATAAAACTACTATCATCATTTGATGGTAATTCCATTTGTTGATTAATTTTTCGAATGGTATCTTCCGAAATGCGACGCTTCATCGGACGTTGCATATTCCGTTCTAGAGCTATAGTAAGTGGTACATCTACTACCACAACTAGAAACGGAAGATGAAACATTTTTGACATTCGACGGAAAGGTCTTCGCATACTTCTTAAATAAAATATATCATCCACTACAGTTACCGGTGGTATGATATTCTCAGTTGATAACTTTATTTTCAAAAATTCTCTTACTCGATTTTCACATCTTTTCCGTTCACTATGAGCATTTGTACTTTCATCTAAATCATATAGTTGTAGCATACTTTTATCGGTATATTCGCTACCCCATATGTACTTCATAAAACCATCATCATTGAAGATGTCATCGTACGAGAACGTAGCACAAATTTCATCGCCAAATTTCTCCTTCAATTTTCTACATAGGTATGTCTTACCGGAACCCGGTATACCCATCAGTAGCACTAAAGCCATTTAATTGAAGTGATGAATGGAACACCACAATTACATCATCCAATCATATTGATTAGCACAGAAATCCTGAAAGAGTGAACTGCAACTAAAGATTATGTCTTTTGATCTCAAGCAAGTATAAACGTTTTGGATAACTCTGACAATACCTACCATGATTCTTTCCTAGAATAATTTACACATTTTATGACCATTGTAAATCTTTCGTTATAAACGTTTCTAAAATACAGCCAAGTTTACTTGATAACTGGTCTATTTGAACAAAAAACATCCTATACTCTCTTGACCTGATGATATATATATATACAGCTCTGTATAGCTCTCACATCAAAATTTTTTAACAGTACAAATTTATTTTCCAAACAGTATTGAGAAATGTAATGATACAATAATTATCAAAGGTAAATAAAAAAGGAAAAATATCTCTTGAAACAACTGTAATATAGGCTTAATAAGAAAACAATCATTGACAAACAGAAACACTACTACAATGAAGAGAAATGTTTCTTTAACAGCAACAACTTTTTTTGCAGCGTTCTTTCAAGGCCGCCAAATACAGCAAATATTTCACGCCGCTTCAATTAGCTCGTCCCTCAACTGAAATTGAATGGAAGATAAGCTAGAAACATAATTGGAAAAGTGAAGTCCAGTCATACTAAACTTGAAAACATCTAACATAAAAAAAGTGAATAATCCAATCCCATTATGTCATATATCAAAGTGTACTGAAATATGGAAAGACTAAAAGGAGAACTCACTGTATGTTGCAACTTCGATTTCAGCCGGTAACTCAGTAACATTCACATCAAACCTGTCCTGTACATCATTCAGAATTTTCGCATCATTTTCATCGGAGACAAATGTTATCGCCAAACCTTTGGTACCGAAACGTCCAGCACGTGCTACCTGTAACTCAGTATTCCAATACTCATTTAAAATTCCCCTTGAATTCATTTACCAGAACTCAATACATCTTGCGCAAATGTATTGAGTTAATTTTGTAAAATTCGTTGAAAACGCTAATTTAAGGAAGCATATCTATAAACTGAGTGAGAGTGAAAATGAGCAAAAAAACATACTCTATGCAAATACGTATCTGAATCTTCCGGCATATCATAATTGAACACAATGTTCACGCGTTCAATATCCATACCACGACCAAAAAGATTCGTCGCAACAAGAATACGCTTCTAAAAGAATAAGAATGAAACCACAATTGTCACGAATTGTCTCTTCCACCTTATCAGTCATGAATGCCTCAGTGGTAGTGACGAATGATGCAACTATCACTATTTTTATCAATACATCATTTCATGCATCACTGGCAAATTTAATTGAGAATAAGCAAAAGTGGTACTCGTGGACTTCAAAATACCTGGAAATCCTTGAATTGCTGATATCGAGAAAGGCGCTCCTCTTGTGGCATACCACGATGAATTGCAATGCTTGGAAAATTCTGTTCAGAGAGCAAAGTATGCAAAGCGCCACAGCGTTGCACAGATCGCACAAAAATCACAACCTGAAAAGTGCAATATATAAAACGATAATACTACAAAGGGATCTCAGCTACCGATAAATCTTAGCTTCTACGACCACTGTTAGATCAGGAAAAACTACTCTTAATGCTTAAAATTACCTTTGCGATACAACATACACAACTTGCTTTCCTAACACTATTTTTAATATTTACTTGATTGAATTCCAGTTGATCAAGTAATTCAAGCAATTTCTTATTCTTTTCAGTTTCCTTCAGTTTCACGTAATGCTGTTGCAATCCATGCAGTGTTAACTTTGCTTCATCATCGACATACACTTCCATTGGCTGAAAAATCTGTCTATATAAATGGCTAAAAAATCATTTAAAAAACCATTGACACATCATCGTCACTGACTGTTACAGTTTACTGAACCAAATTACAAATTTTGCTTTATTTTCTGAGAAATCATGGTAGTGACAGTTAACATGCTGTGGAAATCCTAGATTGAATGTCGCGTACCTCTGATTTCATGTTCATGTTTTATTACCTACATTAAAGGTTTCTTTTATGTTAAAAATAAACATAGCAGAGTGCCTGCTTTGGGTTCGTACAAAAAAAAAACCGCAAGGCTTTCCACACCACGAATATAAATTACTGCAAAATTGCTGCGCCAAAAATTTTCAACTGGCACATGCAACGCCATACGAAGTGCGCCATGTCGAATCCTTCTTCAGGAGTAGATCTTGGAAGGAAACCTGAAACTTATCAATTTTGAACTGGACGAGTATCAACAGTATAAGGCAGCAACTTGAATTCCGAAAAAAAAAACATAACTGTAAACGTTTGATTGCATCAAGAGACATGTAAGTCAGCAACATGCAATAATTTTCAGCCTTTCTTCAAATTAACATAATAATATGCAAGTGACAAGATAATGAAAATAGCTTACCTTCCAGGAAATCCACTCCGTAATCCAATTATATAGTCAAATGGGGAACCATGAAAATTAATGTTTAAGGAAAGAGGGTTAAACGCAATTTGGTAGCATTTAGGGAAAAGGCATTGCAGTAGCTTCACCAAAACAGAACAGATTTGCTGGGAGCAAAGCTCTTCGAGTAATTTTTCCGACGTGAATTCAATGTACAGCGGCAGGATTTATGTATCCATCAGCAACCAGCTGGTATTCACTTGACATCCCATCAAAGCGTATAGTGTACAGGTGTTTTGTGTGTGTTGCTGCTTGCACCAGAAAATCTTACATCTTGCATGAATTTCTTGCAGACCACTCGTAAATCCCTTGGTAACGTAGCACTGAACATCATCACTTGTTTCTCTTGCGGCGTCATTTTCACAATTTCTTGAACGTCTCGTCTCATATCTAAAATAACCTCGTCATATGTTATACAGCATGCTCATTCGCTTCAGATAAAAGAAAGAAAAAGACAAAAACCAACCATTATCACCAATCATTTTGTCGCATTCATCCAAAACGAAATATTTGATGTTCTTCAATTTCAAGCTTCCTTGTCGAGCTAGTTGGAGCGTACGGCCAGGAGTTCCAACAACGATGTGTGGTGTATTGTTTTTAAGTGTCTCTTCATCCTTTTTGATTGGTATGCCACCAAAGAAGACAGCAATACGAACACCAGGAATGTATTTACTGAACCGTTCATATTCCTTTGAAATCTGGAATGCCAACTCGCGGGTATGACACATTACCAAAACCGACACCTGAAAAACACGGAAAATATCTCCACTGCAGAATCATCATAATAATTTATGATCTTCACAATTTTCAATTCTTCTGCAAAGCATCCACATAAAAGTTGTAATCATCTTTATGAACCATGTTACGTCTTTTTTCAACTTCAAATTTTATTATAAAAAGTGGACATCTTGGTAATGCAAAATATAAGACTCACCTCGCCGTCGACAGGTTCAAGTTGCTGCAAAGTTGCCAGAACAAATACAGCTGTTTTGCCCATTCCCGATTTTGCTTGACAAACAATATCCATGCCCAAAATAGCTTGCGGAATGCATTCATGTTGCACTGAAATTTCTTGCACAGTTATCTGCCTCTCACTGAGAGCAAAGAATTTATTCATATGCAGCTGCAACAATAAATGTTTTCACCCGCACCAAATATCATACAATCAAAGATTTTCAACACCTGCAAAACAGAAGTACATACCTTCTGAAGGATGTTCAAAACCGCAATCCACAATTGCCCGCAGCAGCTCCGGTTTCAAGAGAAAATCTCGAAAACCACTACTGTGAATGGAAGCATAAGTGCCCTGAAATAAAGGAACATTCTTAATTAACTATTGCAAGTAATAATTAAATTTCTCATCGAACTAACCACTCCATTATCCCTTACAATGCCTTTCGCTGCTAAACCAGAATCGCCATTTCATCCGACAATATAAAAGAAAATAACAACGATACAACTACCCTATAAAAATTCTGAATACCATAGAATTCTTCAGTCAAATTTGACTTTCAAATACAATTAATTCCACGATCGGACTAAATTAATTTTCTAGTCGAATAAACTTAGAAAGTAGCTCAAAACCAGCAAAATTTCGCTCCATCTGAAATCGTTGTGAATGGCAGTTAAAAACAAAAAAAAAAAGATACCTTAATTTTCTTATCTGTTGCTGATCCATTTTCTGTTTTGTTGCCATCAGTCGTTTCTTCTTGCTCTTCCTCATAGTCCAACAACTGATCTTCGTCCATTATTCTTCCTTGACACTACTTCGAAGTAACCACGTGACAAAAGCAATGTTAAATAAACTTTGTAACCTAAAAAAGGTTTACTGGTAACAAAAATGTAAAAGGCTAACGTATGAAAATGAAAACACGCAAAATATGCACGTCAACTCACACCTTAAGAAACGGCCAAACAACATATAGGCAACCAACCAACCTACAACCTAAATGAACCGATACAACGAAACTATTAACTATTGATTTTTTATGCAACTCTGACATAACCGACCAAGCAACGCAACGCAACAGGCACATCCCAAGGTGTGAACTTTCAAAACTTCAACACTACCAATGAGGAGGGCAAGCGCACATTTGAGGGGGATTCGATGCTTTTCCTATTATATTTTCTAAATTCAAAATATTTATTCCACTGCAAGTTAAATCCATTAGTAACTTAGTTGCGATAATAAGCAGGTATAGCTTTAGAATATATAAATGCACAAGTGAATGAAGCAAAATCCACCACACCTAAATGATCACTTAAGGACTTTATTGTTACTAATAATAATTGAATCAATAAGTTATCTCAGTAAAATTTAAATCAACTTACATTTATCTAAACTAAATTACAACAAATTTGTAATTGTCGTTTCCACAAAATCCGAATTTTACACACGCCTTGCTTTTTACGGCAACCACTTCATCATATCATAATTTAGATATTGGAATTGGTTTTTCCTATTTTATCGATAAGTGAATTTGAAATTCTTAAAACCCCAGTAGCATTTAATTTAATTCTTGGCAATTATAACAAAAAAAAAAAAAAAAAATCAATGTAAAACACAGATATTCAATTTACAATAATGCCTTACAAAAGCATCTGGACACAAAACGATCAACGGAAATTTTTCGAAATAGGAAAATATGAAATAGAACACATGTTTCTAATTTATATATCCTCGATAATATCATTCAATAAAATGTTTGAGTAATTTTAGTAATTCTAATCATGTCCCTTTCCATTTTGTTCATTTATTCTCTTATACTTCAACAATTATTACAATATCATACGAATATTAATACACTGTTTTAGTACCTAAACGAAGAAAACAATTATGTCATATTTCTTACTGTTATCAGCAAAAATCAATCAAAAATAAAAAAATAATTCCTCGTAATGATATAAAAGAATAACAATTATTCGAGCATTGCTTAAGATAATATAATCCCATGTAATTAATCTTTCCTGTATTTTCAATTAAATTAGAAACCGGACAGAAATAAAAAATGAAAGAAGAGATGCAGCAAGTGATGAGAATGTTTCTTTTTTTTCACCGCAGAAACAACGAAATTCAATATTTATTTTACCTAGGAAACAGATTCTGAATGAGAAATCACGTAAAGGTAAATCCTAAGGTTCTATATGTTTGATAGATTTTCTCGATTGCATTTGCATATGCTGCTGTACGAATATCCAAATCTAAGTTGTATTTGTGTGCTGTAGCGATCACTGCTTTTGCTGAAAGAACATTTTATTTTTCTTTATAAGAAAAATTTTTTTCTAAAAAAAATTGATACATTCTTATATTTTATATTTGCTTCAGTGGACATTGATGTGTTGTATATTTTATTAAGGTGTATGATCAAAAAATATTTTACCTGAACGTTGCATCGAATATTCTAAGCCTGAATTCACAATATCCTTTTCTGATGCACCTGCGATACGATTTTTGAATTCAAGTGTTGGCTCAATTTTCACATCTTTGTTGAGTGACCGTTTCAATGATTCTTGTACACTATCTTTAAAAAATGGCAAGAAAAATTTAGAAAATTCGAAAAAGTTAGGATTCGCTATTGAAAAAAATCCACAAAGTTTGCTATTTCTGCATTGTTATATTGACAGAGTCGATCAAATTTCAATAAAATTGATGAAAAGATTTTTCACTTTTTACATCCCTTCTCAGACACTTCATCACATTGTGAATAACATGGATAAGACTGTACGTTTCAAGACAAAATGATTAAAATCCTAGGAAAAAAAAACATCCTATAAAATTTATTACAAAAGGCTAACCAAGCAAATGATAATTGGAATCTTTTTCGTGCTTGAATGTTAAACGCCCAAAACTGACATGATTCAAATTTTTCAACCATTCGAAATAAGAAACTGTAACACCGCCTGCATTCACAAACAAATCAGGCACGATAAGACAATCACCACGAGCTAACAATATCTTATCACCAGCTGGTGTTGTTGGTCCATTAGCTGCTTCTGCTATTATCTGTAAAAGTAACACTTGTTAATTTGGAAAAAATTTCTAAAGTTTATTGTTTAACTCTAAAATGAAAAACTGCCACGCTAATGTTAAATAATTGTTACTTTCGCTTGAATTTTCTCAGCATTCTCCTTGTGAATAACCTTCTCGCACGCTGCTGGTACGAATATATCACATTTTTCATACATGAGATCGCTGAATGGTTCATAAGCTCTTGCTTTTGGAAAGCCCTGGAAGGTAGAAATTCAATTTCATTGGAATAAATAATACAGAAATGATATAAATCATAAATAATGTAGTGAATTATTCTGAAAGCGAAACAATGAACCACAAAACCTAGATTAACACAAAGATACAAAATGTCATTCACGTATTTTTAAGTTCCTAGAAAATGCTCAATATTCTTAATGTCAGCTATTTAATTTAAATCTGCATTAGAAATGAGGAGAAAATGTATCATATCAAACTGATTATAGTCTACTTCAAATTTATCTCTTTTTTTTGAAAGAGAAATTTGACTTTTTGAAAATATTTAGGTAATAAATATTTTCAAAACAATTTCACTCAAATTATCTTTTTCAAATGAAATACGACTGACTAATAATATCAATTTAACTCTTTACTATCATGACCGATTTATTCGCTACTCTCTCTCCTTTCAGATGTTTGACATATGATTTTTCAATTAATAATTAACTATGTGAAACTACATCAATACTTTGATAGTGCCATGTTCGATGAGATAGTCTTCCAATTCTCGTGGATGAATCCCGTCTGGATTATAAATGGAGCAGTTATATTCCTGTACACCAATACATTTTGCTCCAGATCGATGGAAATATCGAGTAGTATGCAAACCAACATTTCCAAATCCCTAGAATAGAAGAAATAAGTTTAAATGAGAATTCAATAAAGATAAGCTCCAAATATGACAGTCCTCACTTTTTTAGCAGCAGTTTGGACATTTCAAAAGTTTCAAATTATTTAAGGATGAATGGATAGGAGATGAAAACTACCTGTACGATGAATGTCTTTCCCTCATAGCCAGGTGTCAATCCTACTCGTGACATATACTCCTCGTTATTCAAAAATACTTCCAAACCTTTCCATACTCCTCGTCCAGTAGCTGATGTACGTCCATGTATTCCTGAATTGCAAAATATACGAACAGTAATTACAAATGAAATTGAAGTTTGAAGAATAAAATGAAAACCAAACTATACAATAAATTCTGTTCGATCAAAAAAAAAAACTATTAAAAAAAGATTTATACCTCCAGCTACGATTGGTTTTCCAGTAACGCAAGCTGATGCATCATTTTCTAAATGTCCCACTGTTTGAGCATATGTATCCGCAATCCACCCCATTTCTCGTTCACCTGTTCCCATATCTGGAGCTGGCACATCAACACCTGGTCCCAAAAATCCTTTCTTGGCAAATTCAATTGCTACACGACGTGTAATTTTCTCGACTTCATATTCCGTATATTTTTTTGGATCAATTTTTACACCACCTTACAAAAAAAAAAAATTTTTCTCACTTATTCAACATTAACAAAATTCACCTCAAATCTGCTTTCAAATCATAATTTTGAGTTTTAATTTTAACTTAAAAGCATTTACGACAAGTATTATCAACTCTTTAAATTTTAATGACATGCTAAATTTCTCCATTTCATTATACTATATAATAAAGATATGTATTAAAATTTAAACCTTTAGCTCCACCAAATGGTACATCAGAAACGGAACATTTATAAGTCATTAGTGCAGATAAAGCTCGTACTTCATCCTCACATACATCAGGTGCATATCGGATACCACCTTTAGTAGGTGTACGATGTTCGCTATGTTGTGCTCGCCAAGCTTCTATCATTTCATATTCACCATTATCAAGTCGAATTGGAAATGTTATATATAAAACCTAGAAAATTCTTCATCAAACATATTTTCTTTAATTCACTGTTGAGGATTAAAGACGAAAAAAAATTATTAATTAAGAATTTTAAATGAATTTTTACAAGTAAAATCATTTCATGATTTACTGATCTAATTAACATATTAGTGATGTATTAATCTATTTCAGGGCTTTTAAATCAGTACGCAAAAAGAGTAGAGAAAGTTAGCATCATTATCATTATCGTAGTAATACTTGACTTAGATTAAGTAATATGAGATTAATTTTGAAACTAAAAAAAAGGAAAACATATAAAGTGTTTTAGACTTTTGCTAATATTTTTTTTTTTCTCATAGCTCAGATTATACGTAAACAAGCAAGAAGTTATAAAATGTTTGCAAATCACTTACTAACGAATGAAAACAAGAAAAAAAAAATGTGACAAATGATTATCTTATGTACTATAAAAAATGCTTCCATAAGCAGGAATGTTTTCATACAATAATCAAAGACTTAAATTAAACTACTTATATCATTTTATTTTAACTAGAATAATTTCCCTCTAACTTTCTCCTCACATAAAGATAAACTTTATTTGGAATAAATTTTTTACTAAACATTTCGTTAAGAATGAATTAGAATGATCAAATATTTTCATTTTCAACACATGTTTAATTAATTACAGGAACAAATATTACATATTTTAACATTGAAATTAAGTATTCATTATAGCTTATTTTACCTTATTTGCAGGTTTGATAGCATGTAAAATTCCTTCTACTAAATTCTTTTTTTCTTTTCCACCCATTTGTTGTGATTTAATTTCATCGATAAGTTTTGGCATAATAATTTGTGATCCCTTATCAAAATAATATTCTACCATCTATAAAAGATATATAAGATGATTGCGATAATAATTAAAATGAATACATTTAGTAAAATGATTAAATTATTATCATTCATAAAATGTTATATAAAAAAATTCGAGTATATTTGAAAATAATTTAAAAAAAAAAAAAAAAAAAAAAAAAAGAAATGATACCTTAAAGAACGAAGGATTAATTTGTTCATCCATTGGAAGTTTAGAATCATTCAGTTGAGCATGACCACCCATCTTAGGTGGTGTCGCCATAGAACGTACGCTGATATTAGCCGTTGTGATAAATCGCGTCATATTTCGAGTATATAACGATACCATTTTTTTTTCCTTCTTAAAAAAAAAAACTGATTCCTGCAATAAATAATTTATCGTTTTTTCGAAATTTATAAATTCATTTCATTAATATCCGTGTATAAGAGAAAAAAAGAAAAACGAAATGAAAAAATAAATCTTTGAATTAAACTATTCGATTTCTTATTCCAATTTTTCTAATTCTTCATACGCCACGTTGAAACTATTGAAAATAACAAAAATTATTTTCAATTTTTTTATATCAGAAAATAAAACATTCCTTTTTCCTTTTCTTTTGTATTACTTATAAGAATTTTTATTTGAATTAAAAACTAAAAAAAGAAACAATGTTCCTAGATGTCTAAATCATATCAACACTGACATATATGTAGTAAACTTCAATAGCATTTCAAAATTTCGCCTTAGTATAATCAAAAGATATCAAATTGCAACTAATGGAAACTGGTTTTCCTTGCATAATTTATAAACTTAACATTTTTCTTCCTCTTCTACTACAGTAAATTATAATGATTGCTTTCTATTACAAATAATTTATAGAAAAAAAAAAAAAAAATTTGCTCAAAGTTTAATTTGAAATTAAAGTAACAGAGAGGCAGAGAGAGAGAGAGAGAGAGAAAGAAAACGTGCAAACGATATTAGCAATGTTGATAACTCATTCTGACGTCAGTTATTTATGAGAAAATTTACTAAGCTAATCAAACATACTCATCAATAATCTGCAACAATTTAAATGAAATGTTAGCAAAAAAAGCAACGCATTGTTGTTAAAAACATTAAAAAGATTATTTTGCATTGTTAAAAAGATTATTATTTGACATATTCAATTTAAAAAAAGACCTTCAATTGTAGAAAATTCTGAAACCATACAAGTCAAATGAAGTTCAATTGAAAAAAAAAGATGTCACAACTTTGAGGTTAATTTTACAAGTTTTCAAACTAATATACTAAATTAAAATAAATGCAATGAAATCATAAATATGATATTACAAATATTTATTTGCTTTTCCTAATCTTTTCTGATCATTTAATAAAACTAATTTTTTTACGACCAGTTAATTTCTAAATAATAAAAAGTGTAGGTTTTCGTATTAGCAAAATATGGAAAGAATAAAAAAAAATTCTGCATATTGAAAGATAAATAAAAATTATTTGCAAAGATGAAAAGTGTATGTACTGTAAAAGATTAAAAATATCAAAACTAAGATAAGTTATTTTAATCATATCAAAATTTCAAACTTAATTAATCAAGTAAATAGTAATCACAATTAAAAAATAGCAACAATAAAAATTTAACAATGAACGTTAGGTTGTGAAGACAAAAAAATGATTAAATCAATAGTTGCGACATGATATGAAGAGAGAAAAGATTAAATCATTAAGATATGACCTTTAGTCGAGAAAACCCATTCATCTGCAATTTTACTCGTTTGATGTACGAATGACAGAGTAAGAAATCTGTCTCCGCAAAATTTAATGACTGTGAACAATCGACAAATGTACAAAGAATGAGAGAGAGTGAAAAGATTATTGCAGCGGTTGAAGTAATAAACACTGTTAAATTGAAATATCGAAAATCAATATTTGCCTATATTTTATTCACAGAAGAAAATAAAAAAAAAAAAAAGACATGAGCAGAAATGTTTATAATTAAATAGAAGAGACAAAGCAAAAAGAAAAAAAGTTGAAATTTTACTTAAATTTTATAAGCTCTGGATAATTTCAATAAAAGGTCCGTTCATTTTCATAAGTGATATAAATGAAATTAAAATAAAAAGCAATACGAGGATAGAATTGTTAATAGCGCTAGCTTAGATAAAAGTGACTAAAATACAGACAAAAAAGGAATAAAAAGAGGGAGGAAGAGAGAGAGACAAGAAGAGAGGGAGAAGAAAAGAAAAAAAGATATCGAAAGAAAATTTTTACAACAAAAAAAAAAATTGCAGAAAATTCTAATTTAGATATAAGAAATGTTTGCATACTATTATTAGTAGCTACTATTACTACTTACTACTTAGTCCATTCATTGATTATTTAATGTTTCCTCATGTGACTACACAATAGATACGCATACATACACACACGCAAACTTTAATTACTTTTAGTTTATTCAAGTAATTTAACAATTTTTAATCAGAACTTGAATATTCTCATAATTTTATGCGAAAAAAAAAAGATTTCAGACAGGAAATAAATAAATGCTATTGTAAAAATTAATGAAATAACCAAAAAATATATATTAATTTTTACAATAAATAATTATGTTACAAATGGAATATTTTAGGAATCTTTTTGGAATTAAAAATAGCTTGCTGCTATTACTATATGTTAAAGATAAATAGGATAAATGATTTCTTTTTTCCTCTAATTTATTATTTATAATAGAATCTCTTAAAAGAATTATGCTAATTTTTGCAATTTTTTTAGGTACCAAAAATTATTCCTAATAAATTTATTCATATACATATATACGTAACTTTTAATTATTATTTTCTATTACTTTAAAATATCTTACTTATGATATTGTTAGTAGAAAAACAAAAGGAACAAATGAATTAATTAGAAATGTATCTAATTGAAATTAGTTTCAAAAAAAAGAAAGTGAAAGCGAACTAAGTGGTACGATCATTTTTCAAATTTTGGGAAAAAGATAAAGAAGGAAAAAAGGGAATGAAAAATTGTTCACTACAAATTCATCGAGAGATATAGAATTAGGATTATTCGTATTCATATTATTTTATCCACTCCCTCTCTCTCTCTCTTCCCTCCCTCTCTCTCTTTTCACTACACAAATCATAATAGTTACATTACTGAAATTCAACACATTTTCTAAAATTCAAGTCTAGAATGGAACAAAATTAATCGATGAGAGGGACATTTGATGCATTTTGTGAATAGAAAATGAGATAAAAAGAAGGGAAGAGAGTGAGGGATATGAATGAGTGCAAGCAAAGAATTTGTTTAATTTCAGTAAGAATTTGGCAAATTTTTGAAATGGTAAAGAAATTATTTGAAAAAATTAAATGCAAAAATAAATGAATCAAAAAATAAAAGGAGAGAAAGAAAGAGAAGGAAAGGAGGGGAAAAAATAAAAATGACAGTATGATAGATATACATTTGCATATGAATATGTAAATTAGACTTTAAATATGTATAAAAAATCAACAAAAAAAAAAAAAAAAATCAAACAAAGTTAAACAAAATATGGAGTAATTTATGAGGAATTTCAAAATTTATGGGGATTTTCAGGATTTACTTAATACATGCATGTATGTATGTATGTACGTGTGTATGTGTGCATGTGACGCACCAATATTCGCATGTATCTGTCTGTGTCCATGTATGTATGTTATGATAATATATTGATTGTTGGAACAAGTTTGTCAACTGTCAAGTAGTCATCATCATTCAGCATTTAAAATTGATTTGTTGAACAGCGCTGAAGATTTCTATATATGACTTTAAATTTATCACTTCTTACCATTTCTAGTATTTTTCGTTTTTCCGGAATTATCTGACAACTTTTATTAGGGATATTGCATTCCTAATTTTTAAATTCATTCAGTTTTATTCATTCAGAAGAGAATTAATAACAAAATTTCAATTCAATATTAATCATTTACATTTGCAAAAATTATAACACACAAATGTAAATGAGATTGTTTTTTTCCTCAATGCTTAATTATTAATGATAATAATAATAATAATGGCACAAAACAAAACAAAATGAAGTAAACTATATAGACAAACATGTAAGAGCTTACATGCAATACGTGATATAACACGTGACCATACCTGAATAGGTATGTACAAATAGAATAAACATAAAAGTACCTTAGCTATGACACGTCATAATACACGAGAAGGTATGCATATTTATTTATATATACAATTTGCTGAGAATTCAAAATCAATAGTCAATTATATGACCCGAAAAAAAAAGAAAAAATGAAGGAACAAAATGAAAGTTTTAACTTTTAAAGCAAAAAAAAAGGCTTTTCCTATCGAATTTTCTTTTTTTCTCATTCACACAAAGCAATTAAAAAGGAGAGGAAAAGCGGTATAGAATATATGAATTTCAAAAAACTGAAATTAAAAATGATGCCATTTTCATAGTAACACAACACAGCTATAATTCATCATCAATATTAATGTTATCATTCGTTTTTTGTTTGAAAATAAAATAAAATTACAAATGCAAAAATCATTGTAAACATTTTGATGTGAAATAAATTGCATTTTCATTTTCATCTCATTCAGTTATTTGTTTTTTATAGTTTGCAAAGAAAAACGAAAAAAAAAATAAAGGAAATGAGAAAACAAAATAGCAAAAGATTTATTCATTTCTTCCCATTCATTAGAAATTTTTACATTTATAAAAGGATTGCAAAATAAATTACGAAAAGAAAAATTGATTAAAAAATAAATGAAATTGTTATTCAAAGAAAAAAAAAATTATTATTATTCAAAAATCACTTATCCGAAATTAACCAAAAATTATTCAAAATTATTCAAATATTTTTCAAAAAAATTATCCGAAATTAATCAAAAATTATTCAAAAAAATATTCAAAGTAATTGCAAAATACATGTTAATTGTAATTATCATATGAAATTAACTAATAAATGAATAAATAAATTCATAATATTAATAAATCGTAGAAAATAAATAGAAGATTGCAAATTTTGTTCAACGATCGAGCAAGATTATTGTTTCGCTTAATCGATCAGGAAAAATATTATTGATTTTAACCAAGTGATCACAAAAAATATTATTGATTTTATTTAGTTGATCAGAGAGAATATGAACAATGTTATTGTCGTCTATTTGTCTATATAAACAATTATTTTTGAAATAAATTATATTTCATTTTAACTATACAATTATTCATTCCATACTTTTTTGTCTTTCGCTTTTTTCCTTACAGAAACTTCCATATTTCCAAACAAAAAAGAAAGTGAAAAAAACATCAAATTCAAATATTTATGTGTTTAGTTCTTTTTTTTGTT